TAATCAAGATTAATATTATATATATAACAATAATAATCAAGATTAATCAAGTAATAATATAGTAATAGACCGACAAGTGCCCAGTTCCCTCTTTGCAGGCGGCGGATGGACTGTCTGCTTGGAGCTGTGACGAAGCATCCACTATCAGCTGAGTGAAGCTGGGCTTGATGCGCCGTGTCCTCCGGCCAAATTGGCCACTTCCACATGTCACAAATGTGCCCCCAAAACAAACGATCTGACGCAAGCCTAAAGGATAAGTCCCTTGTCCCTTCACGATCTTTGCAAGCCTTTCATGATAATTACCAACAGGCCTGGCCCTGCAAGGTAAATCCTCTTCCCGAAGCCGTCGCAGCATTCCGGCAGCTAGCAAACTTTCTGCCTCGAGATGGGCTGTGCAAAATGAGCCTTGGAAGCCAGGAGTCAAGCAGCGCAAACGGATATGGGATGAATAGGCACAACCAACCTGTGCTACAGTGACCACACAAAAAGAAATATTGCTTAATTCAGCTTGGATCCAGGCCTCACACCATCAATGTTCTTCTCAGGGAAAACCTCTAGCTCGAAAATAGTGCCGCCACCGATGTCACAAAGGGGTTTGATACTTTTGGACTTGAGGGCAGCCACCTGAGGCACAAGAATAGTGCATTCTACCCTCTCTGGCACCACCAAGCTCGGGCATAAGCAGATCAACGATTCCCGAGTGGGTGAGCTTGATGTGGGGTTTGTTTGGCTCAGCTCATGCGGTCGGCTGGCTCGGGGCGGGCTTTGTGAGAACATGAGTGGAGTGCGCGGAGCAGGCGAGTCCGTAGCTGGCTTTAGAAGGAAAGCGTCCGGCTCAGATCGATTGGTCACCACACACAAGCCCAGCAGTGCAAGGATGAATGCAATGGGAAGCAAAATCTCGAAAGGGAAGGCGATCTCTTCGGGTATAGCAGCAGTGAGGGCCAGAACCATGTGTTTGCCCATGGAGGAGGACTTTCCAGCTTCTTGTAGCTCGAGGAAGCTCTGCCCACGCCTTGACCAGCCCATTGCATCTTAGGACTTTTTTGCAGAACAAAGATGCACATGTCTCAGAACAAAAAAGAAAACCGTAAAAATGTAAAACTAGGTATCTACATGTATTCCAGAGTTGACCACAACATACCACAACCAAGTCAAGGAACACTTGTGATAGGTCCTCAGTGAGCATTACTTTGGAGGAACTCCGGTTGCGCTGGACCAGACTGGCTTTCTCTGCACTCCTCAGATCCGTGGCAAGCATGAGTTTGAAAAACTGAGTGAACTTGGTCTTTCGATTTTTTCAACCCTATTGCAACGACAGCAGGCCTTTACAAATCCAAGCTTCTCCGTGCCCCCTTCACACCCGGGTTCTGTGCTGGCTTCCGCTGCCATCAGGACGACCGCCAGCACAGCCAATAAGTATCTAATCCTAGTTTGTTACAAGACTTTGGAATTGCATTGTTTTGTAATGCGTTGTCCAGTGCTTCTGTATAACTCAGGGCTGGGCAAGAGCATAGCGTGATGTAGAGTTGAATGATGGATTGGTAAGGTACCTTGCCATTCAGCCGGCCGCGTGCGAGGCCAGCTGACTGGCTGGAAGACTTCTAAGCTCATCCCCAAGCCAAAAGGAGGAGCAGAAAATGCTTTTTGTTACTAGTAGGGATGGCCTCCAACCTAATAGCGATGGCATCCACCTAGATCAAAAAGAAAAACGCTGCCGAAGCTGAACTGAGGTGCAGTGTAAGGTTGGCCCAGAAGCTGAGTGGCTTCGGGCAAAAAGCTGCGGAGAGGATCGTGCAAAGCTCCCAGCAGCTTCAGAACGGGAAACGTAATTGACTTCGCATATGACAAAAGTCAAGAGTAAGGAAAGCAGCCAGCTTGGCAGCACTGGATCCATTGGCGTGTGGAGCATCTGCAAGGGCCTTCATCGAAAACCCACAGGTGAAAAAACAAGAAAACTCAGACTTAAGCCATTGGCGCGAACTTGGGGAAGTAATTCTCATAGGCCGCTGAGGAATACAAACCTTCAAAGCAACATACTTCTTAAAACGCACACAATGATCCCAAAACAGGTCCTAGAGTCCTAGAGTCTAAAACTTCAGTTTAACTCGTCGGCTTGTTTTGTTCTGGTGTTCACTAGTAGGTTGGAGGCCATCGCTAGTAGGTCCCTTTTGCTATTAGGTTGGCCTTCGCTACTAGACATCCCTTTTAGACAGACTCAGGACTTGTTTGCTTGGTGGCCAGCGATATGAGTGTCCTGGGCCCAGTCGGCCGGCCTCATCATGCCCGGTCTACTCTGGCCGCACGGAATTTCCCAACACCGGAAAGCACAGACTCAGGGCCAGTGTTGGTTTTCACGCTGAGGGGAAAGGGAAAGATTTAAAAAGATAAAGAACATTGAAAAAGTTTTTTGGGCTCGAGTAGCCAGAGGGGTATGATGATGTATGAGGTTTGCATGGCCACCTTTTTCGCTTCCTTTGGCCTTCAGAGGAGTCCTCGATACGACCAAGATGTGTCATGGTCTCAGTGAGATGCGGCGGCTCGACGTCTTGGGCATCACTTGTCTAGCAAGTTCAGAGCCGACAATCCGTTCGAATCGTTTCAAAATCAACTCATCTGTCTGTGCACCAAGGGCAGCCATTTGGCGCAAAGTGACGCAAGCCCACACAGAGTCCTTGGCCCTCTCACATGCCTTGAGCATCCCTGCCCAAGTAAACTTGTTGGGTTTCACGCCCACTTCTTGCATTTCGGCTATAAGATCTGCCGCCCCTTCCACATCTCCGATGGCAGCATACACATGTAGTAGAGCGGTATAGCTGTGCACGTCGGGTCTTAAGCCTTGCGCCAATAGCCGCTGAAAGGTTTGTTGTGCTCTTCTCGCATCACGTGCTTTGGCACATGCAGAAAGGAGAACGTTATAAAGGATCAGATCAGGCGACAGACCAAGAGAGATTGCTTCTTCAAGAAGCTTGAATGCTTGATCTAAGTCCATTTCCTGCTGGTTTGCAAGAGCTTTAATCATAGAAGTGTAGGTTTGCACAGAGGGCTTTGCTCTGTACTCTCCATGCTTGCCCACTTTTTTCATCTCCTCCAAAAATTTCAATGCCGCATTGCCATCTCCGCATTTCGCTGCGCAATTGATCAGAGTGTTCATCGCCACGGTGTCTGGGTGCACCCGTGCATTGCTCAGAGACTCAAAGACTTGCACAGCAACCTCTGCATCAGAGACTTGGTCGCTTTTCGCGCATGCATCCAGCACAGTGGTGTAGGCGGCTATGTCGGGCAAAACCTTGTGGTTGCGCATGGCTTCTAGCCAATTCAATGCATCCCGCAGAGAGCCAGAGTTCGCGCAAACTTGCACAATGGGCGTGAAAGATAAGGCATCCACTTCGAGTTGGGACTGAATCATGCTCTGCAAATGTAGCCTGGCCTCTTTCACTTGGCCTTCCTTGCAGTATCCATTCACAAGAGCGTTGTGTGCTATGAGGTCGGGCTGCAACGAAGCTGACTGCATGGAGTGCAAGCTCGCTGCGGCGGCATCTATTTGACTACCCCGCGCATGTGCGGTAATCAGAGCTGTATAGGATGTCGCATCTAAGGCTTCTCCTGCAAGTTCCGCTTCCTTCAAGAGCTGGACTACCTGAAAGCGTTGAACAAAGTCCCCACCAAAAAAAATAGTTCTATATACTTTTCCACAGGAAATGGCAAAAGCGAACGAACTTGGAGAACCGAGCTTTGGTTTCCTTTCACAGGCCTTCGAAGGTTCTCCTCTCTTGGCATACGCCTCCGCCACGGTATTGTAATCAATGAGGTTTATATAACCTCGACTAATTTTCTGCCGCAAGACCTCATCGGCTTCCTCAACTCTATCAACAGAGGCAAATGCGTATAGCAGAATGCTGACAGCTGTTGGGTTGTAGTCACCGCCTGTGCTCTCAAGCCTCTCCAGCCACTCTTTTGCCAAGTCTGGCCTCCCTGCACGAGCAGCAGCTTCCATCATTTTGCCAAAGGCCCGTGCATTCGCTTGGATGCCAGCATCCCTGGCTTTGTTGAACCACATCAGGGCGCCCTCAAAATCTCCGGCATTCGAGAATGTCGCCAGAACACTATTCCACAATACTGGCGCCTTCTGGTACGTCTTGGGCAAAGAAGGGAAAACGTCGTGGAAACGCTCGACAGCTTTGGCAGAGTTGTCACCCTTTGCGAGCTCATCAAACTCAGACAGAACGCTCTGCAAATTTGCTCGTTGGCAAGTTCTGGAAAAGCGTAGGCGGCTACACTCAAAAAGTCCGCCCACAAATAGGCCACACGGGTCAGGAAATAACCGACTCTTTGAAAGCCATTGCTTTGGTGAGGAGCCCTGCAACTTTACGTTTTTCAACTCCCACAATCTCTTTCTGATCGGACGTATGGCCGTGCCATGGCAGGGGCGGGTGCACAAGGGCAAATCTTTTGAGGCCTGCATGGCTGGTCAGGGGGAGGTAGAGATGGAGACAAAGAAACCCCCAAAGCCTAAAGCCCCACCAGAACCAAGGCCAAGGCCCGACCAGCTCGTTGGTCTGCGGATGCCTTTGAAATCCTGCCACGACAACGTGCAATGCGCTTCTCTTGAGTGAAGCTCCTTGAAGAACCTCGCGACTGTTCCTAGGCTCCTGGATTCCAATTACCTCTGACACGATACTAGCAAATATACAAATATGTGCTTGGCCACTCTTCTTGAGCTGTTGCAACCTGTGTTATTTTGCCAGTGCCATGAGTCATGAGAATACTGCATGGCATGTGGAATGCATGACGGATTCTCTTGTGTACTCTTCCCGGTCTTGCCATGCTTACACGTCTTGACTCACCGCCTGTCAATGGCAAATGCTGAGGCACCAGAAGAAGCCTTATACCTGAGCTTGGTGAGAAGTGACAAGCAAAGCTATAATACATCTCTCTGTCTCGCTCTCTCTCCCCCATGCCAGCCTCAATATACAGTGAAGCGGCATTGAAGTGATGCATCTGTGTGTGTAACTCATGGAATCAGAGGGGGCCTTTAGGCTTCTAATGCAGAAGGACCATGCACGTACTGCGCGCGATGGTCCAACGAAGCGGCCACGGTACATGCGGATATCACGGCTGATCACCGTGACGTTCCCTGCTTGAATTTTGTGAGTATTGATCACTGCGCTCCAGTCTAATTTCAACCTGTTTAGGTGGAGGTAGGTCGGCAGACATGCAGCTTCCGTTTTTCTATGAAACTTTGGACTTTACCATTTTGGGGCCATTGAGACCTTTGAGACGTTTCATGGTTGGACTCCTTTGCACTCGTTTTGGCCAGGAACTTTTTTCACCTAGACGTTTGGGCAAGTGGCATTCCGACCATATGTACTTTATTCCGAGTCTGTGTTAGAAAGGCCGTCTGACAATCAGAATCATGCAGCATTCGCCGCAAGCTTTTGTCTGCACTGGCATCCATCAAACGACAGAAGTTGTGAATCAGTTCATCTCAACCCAGCATGTCGTTGTAGCGCTGGCGCAGCTCTCTAAGGTCTTGCAAAGCTTGCCTTGCACTGCTGTCACTGGCTTGCCCGATTTGAGCATCCCCAGACCTCACTGCGTCAAGCTCACTGCGCAATTCCCCTGACATGCGCCAAGCTTCCGCAAGCACTTCTGCTTCGCTAGCACGAGCCATCTTGACCCTTTGGCTAAACTGCTGTTCCCTCTCCTCTAAGTGAGAGTTCAATTCTTTCCGTGCCTGTTGCGCTGCCAACTCTGCCCGGTGCTGTCCGGCCATGGCCTTGGCCTCGCCTCGCCGCGCTTCGGCAGCTTGTCGCTTCCACTCGCGCGCGGCTTCGCTCTCGGCGCTGGCAGCCAAGGCCGCGTTGGAGCTCGACATTCGGGCGGCTCGATCTGCCGCAGCTGCCTCTGCCTAACACGGGATTAGAACAACTTAAGTCGAAAAGTTCGGTCAAAGATTTACAAGGTTGGACTCCATCACTATTAGGTTGGAGGACTAGTTAGTACAAACCAAACTGCCGTTATTCCTTTCTTTTCTTTCAAGAGTTCCTTTCATCCAAAGACTGGTGTCAAAGTCTACCCCGTCCGGTGCCTTCCAAGAGTCTGCGAGGGTCACCTGTGCTTCGAGGTCAATCCGTCGGCGTCTTTCCGCTCGAAGCTCTTGCTCCAAAAGCACTTCGCGCCCCATGGCTTGATCTCTTTCTTGCTGCTCAGCATGCATTTCATGCCTGAGACTGCGAATTTCATCGTTCAACTCATCTTCTTTTGCTTGCCAACTGGTCCAATCCTTCTTCCGTGCTGCATGCTGTTGCATCACAACCTCTGACAATCGAACTGCATAGCGCTGCAAGGACCCTCCCTCCAGGCTCAGCGCAGCTCGAGCTGCTTGGAGCTCTGGATCGGCTTCCGCATTCATTCGATCCGACATTGGTGAGTAGTGGCACTGGCATAGCCATCTGCATCAACTAAAAGGGGTTCTGTCACTCCTGCATTCCTACCACTGCTCTCACATGTGGAGAAATGGGTAGTGTGGGTGAATGTGCAGCAAACTGTTCAAGATTGGCAGCTCACTTTCCTTGCATAATGAGCCAACTAAGTCACCGGGAATCCGTCGAATGATTTTGACGCGTCAGAGACACCGCCAGTTCTCCAAAGACCAAAGCAATCTGAGCTGCCCTCCGGCGGCGCTTCTCACGCCCGCAGTCCACCACATAGCGCCTGCACTTATGGCCTCCAACCTACTAGCGATGACCTCCAACCTACTGGCGGTTTCATGATGTTTCATGGACATGTCCAGCCAAAGGGGAAACGAAAGTTCTCGCGCAGCTCACGGTGCAGCTCAGGTGGAGACACATTCGGAAGTGTAACCTAAGACTGGCAAGGCATGTGTGGACATACGTCGGTCATGTTTGGCACAGCTTGGAGTTCCGCCGATGTTTCCGCCACATTCGTTGATATGACGACCTCAGCAGTCGTGATAGTGACTGATAGTGTGAAAATGCCATGTGCCACAGTTGGCATGTCCAGTAGCACAGCTGAGTTTCCAGCCACTCGTTGGTTCTCCGGTGGATGCTTGAAGGGCTCCAGCTGCTTCGTTGCAGATAACCTTCAATCCAAAAGGGTTCGGAACAAATGTCACACTGAGACTGTTACCAAGATCTCTGGGGCCCTGGGGGTCATCCTCCAACACGTTTTTGCACACTCATCAGTGCATGCTGCCAACGCCTTGGCCCCTGACAGGCCAAGAACAACGCATTGCGGCAGGGAAGGTCAGTCTCTACAGACACAGACTGGATCAGGTGAAAAAGTCGCAGTGCCCGTGTCCACGATTTCTGGGCAGTGATGGCTGCACTGAAGCTCCACTGGTTGGCAATCCGAAGCTCCGATGTTACCAAGATAAGCGCTGCTTCCCAGCGACTGACTTGCGTACAAGCACTGACAACCGTGCTGCTCATCACTGGATTGACCTTGAGCCGAACTTCTTCCACTGACGCCAGGATTGCAAGTGCCCGCTCCCACTTCCCAGCTTCACCACATGCCTTGGCAACACCACAAAAGCTAAACAGGTCTCGCTCAACCAGAACCAATGCCATATGCTCCAGCAAAGCAAGTGCACGCTCCCAGCAACTGCCAGCTGAACAAGCACTGATCAAAGAATTGCAGAGAATCGGATTGCGTATCTGCATTGCAGTGTTGATCCTTCTAAAAATGTCCTTCGGAGTAGCGGCAGGTGAGACAGTAAACAATCAAGCTGATGGGACAACATGAGAAATATGATATATAAAACATAAAAATACGAACAAAGGAAGGTAAGGCCCCTTTGAAGGGGCCTTACCTTCCTTTGTTCGTATCCCTTTCTTTCATGGGAGGAACCATCAAAATGTTCTGGCTCTTTCAGTGAGCAGCAACTGCGCAGTTCCACTGCGAGCCTTTGTCACAAGCATTCAACACCCCACCGTAGGTGATCGCATTTGCATCTGGTGAAGCATCGAAGATTTGCAATGCAAATCTCCATGAGCTCGCAGCAGCACAGGCACTAATGGCAGCACTGCGGCTCACCACGTTTGGATACATGTATCTTGTTTGGACCTGGGCCGGGTGCTCCGGAAAATGACAAGACTCTGTATGGAGAAGGACTGACCATTTGACAATTTCCCTTAAGGAACCACAGAAGCCCGGAAACCCCTTTTCTTCGACAAAGCACCTCTAAAGATTGCACTGCTAGCCGCCAGCTCTGCTGCTTTCTTGCGACTTTCAGTGCAGCTCTAGTGAGCAAGCTGAAAGAAAAGTTGTCAGGGATCAAATCGAACTCCTGGATCTTTCGAAGGAATTGGCAGACGATTTGCCAGTCGCAGGCACTCATAGCTGAATTGCAGGTTGTCAAGTCTGGCATCACATAGTCAATCTGCATAGAGTTTGCTAGATACAGGGCTGCAACCCATTGGCCATGTTTGCTGGATGCGTGTATGGCCGCGTTATACTGAATTAAGGTCGGACCAATATTATTCCGCCGTAGCACCTCCAGCACTTGACTAGCAGTGTTTGGAAATCCTGCTGTGGCCAAGGTCTTCAAGGCTTGGGTTGCCAATTGAGGTTTCCACCACCAGGAGTCCAGCACCGGCCGAAGCACGGTCTCCGCGTCCTCAATTCGGACATAGGGGCCCCGGCGTAGCAAAGCAGCGATCTCAGGCAGCAAGGCGGCGAGCGGCATGTTCGTTGGGACGCCCAATGCGCGCAAGACCAAGGATCCACATGACCCACCTGTGAGGAACTGGCCCCGACCTCGACCCTGCAGCCCGCGCAGCCCGCGCAGTCCGCACACGCACCAAGGGTCCCGCCCTCTATGAAGAATCTGACCAGGCAAGCTGGTTCCCTCCATTCATTCATCGCTCCAAATTCCATTGGCAAGGGGCAGAGAAGAGGGACGAGACAAGAAAAGAAAGACACTTAAAGATCGGAGTTCTGAGGCAAGGCTTCGCACAACTCACGCAGAGGTCATGTTTGAGTTATCGTAGTGCTTTAACTGCTCTTGAGCCACAAATTCTTCAAACACTACAGTTTCTGGAACAGCCACACCACTTACGATGAATAACAGCAATCATGCCTCTGGCCAAGAGCACTGCCCTCCAAGGCCCCGACTGAGCATAGAGTGGCAAAACCCGCATTTGCCTGATGACATTCTATGGCATCCCATGGCATTCTTGACAAACACCTTGACCTATCTGCACAGCACACTGAGTGACTGAGGGTCCAGCCCCTCTCCAAAGCCTACACCTTTGAAGACACCCCCCGCTGTCCTCGATTTATCCAGCCTGAAAAGACCGGAAGTGGAAAGCGGCAACCTTGACGTTTGCAAAAATTAGATCTGAATCATAGCAGTAGCTCTTGTTGTAGCCTGGACATTCTTACCTTTCTCTGGTTGCGAAGCTCAATGTCTTTTGCATCCTCGGCAGCTGTGGCGGCCTGAGGTTCCAAAGGCGACAGGCGTCCTTCGTCCTCGTGCCATGCAAAACGGCCAGGTCGCACCTCTCCCTCCAACACCACGACGTCTTCTTCACCCACCGCAAAGGAGAGCTCCGGCATCTCACGTCACAAAGAAACAGCTGTGGAAATATCCAAAACTATGCCCTTTGTTACTAGTAGCTTCTTGTTACTACTAGTAAGGCACTTGTTACTAGAAGCGATGCACTTGTTACTAGTAGCGTCCTTGCTCCTAGTAGCGAGGCCCTTTGTTACTAGTAGCTTCTTGTTCCGCGTGGTAAGGCCAGGAGCTACTAGTAGCCTCCAAAACTATCAAGCCATCATTGCGTTGTGCTCTTTCAATCCCAAGCCTCATCCGGAATGTCTTGGGTGGCCTCTTCCTGGCGTGGACTCCCTTTTAATACCAGTGGCTATCTGGTGTCTGGCTCCTTGCCGGCCTTCTCGTTCGTTCGCTTTCGCTTTGCACCTGACCAATTCCATCACTTCCACTCGGATGTGGTGACACTTCATTCACTTCATGCTCTTGTATCCGGAGGCCTGGTTTGATGCTATCGGCCACACCTTCCACCTTCACATCTCCAGACCTGGGCATCTCCAATAGCTATAGCTTCCTGTTACTACTAGTAAGGCACTTGTTACTAGCGTGGCACTTGTGTCTAATGGCTTCTTGTTACTACTAGCGAGGCACCTGCTAGAACTTCACATCTCCTGCTATGAAGTTAAGCAGTGTTGAATTACTTAATTGACCTGAGGGCGGGATCTTCCTTGAAGAAGCATTCGCACTACGTAATCATTTGGTTCCTAGATCTTTAGAGAAACTGAAGCCTCCCTTCTTCCACCTTTCCCTGCAGCTTGATGCCCGGGCGTGTCCAACGCTTTCTTTTTGCGCTTACCCTTCAGCTTCTTTTTCAGCCTGCACCGGACCCACAAGCACAACTCAAAAATGCTTGTGGAAAGAAAAAGATCAAGAACCTATCTTGCAGCCACACTGCAAGGCTATGAAGTGCCTGCCAGCGTCACCTATCTTGCCTTCATTCCCCTCAGCTGTTGACAGTCAAGTCAGCTGTTGACAGATGGCATCTTGAACACCATCCGTGCCCTTCAATGCAGTGTATAGGCTTGCAGCTTCTTCCAACTCCGGCCTCAACACCCGGCTAAGAAACACGAGACAAACACATGCGTAAAATCCAAGAAAAAGAGATGTCAATGCTCTTTTCGTGTCCTGTCTGACCCCATGTCTTGGCTCCGTCCGTGCAAGGCTTCAGATATGCCGCAACTTCTGATCTTGAAAACTCGACTGAGCACCGCACTCCGACAGGTTTCCCTCATCATCGGAGGCTTCTAAGTCCAAATCTGCTGTCTTGCCCTCCGTGGTCGAAGCCGTGGAGGTGCTGAAAGACTCCAAAACTAGCATGTGATGCCTCCTGCTCTGCAACCTCTGCCGCTGCTTCCTCAAGTGCCTCAAGTATACATATGACTCATATGATGCATGGTGTTTGTAAATAGGCGGCTTCAGTGTCCCAAAACGGCACATAAGGAGCTCAGGCCTTACCGCTGTTGAACGTGAGGAGCTGCGTCTGTTGCAGCATCCTTGGCTCAAACATCACACGCGACTTCCGAACCTCAGAACCTCAAAGCACCTGAAGCACTTGAACTACAAACTCGAAGACTGGCCTGCACAAACGATGAACTTCCTGCCTTCCTGTGACGAACACCTTGCAAGGGAAATGGGTTTGACAAAACCAGCCACAAGGAACCACAATTTGTGTGCCGTAGGAGGCGTGCCAAAATGCTCCCTGGAGGCAGGTCTTTGTGTATCTTCCATACCTTAGGATCGAAGTTTCAACACGCACCACCAAGCAACACAGGAAAACAAGTTTGCTTAAGGGAATTCTGCCAGGAGGCTGATCGGTGTGCAGCCTAACCAAAAGCACCGAAAAGCCGCACCCAGAGCACCCGGACCGATGGCCTCCTAGCGATGGCCCCTAGTAGCTTCTTGTTACTAGTAGCGATGCCAGGAGCCCCTAGTGGCGTCCTTGCTCCTGGTAGCGATGCCAGGAGCCCCTAGTAGCCTCCATCCTAAACACGCCTTGATGTAATCCTCTTCAGTTCGTCGTTCAAAATGCACCGTCACCTGGGCACTTTCGACATCTTCCCTTTTCCGCTTCTTCCCTCATGTGGTCTTACAATGCGCCGAGCCCGGAACCGGAAAGGTTCGTGCATCAATGCGAAGCACGGGCGGTGGGACTGGAAAAAGCCTTGAGAAATGTCAAGCTGCAAGGCATCGCACGGAAAATCGCTGCGCGATTGAGATCCCAAGGCATTGGCTGCTGATTCTCCGTGAAATCACAGAGCCTCAAGGTCGCGGACATGATCACCTCAAGTCGCAAGGCGTGACGCGCAACAAGCTAAGTAAAATAAGTTGAGTCAAATACCAACTTCAAAGGTGGCGGTGGTTCATCTGCGCTTCGTGCCGTACCTTTTTCCGAACATGACGCCAGCAGCGAAGGAGTGAGCAGCAGCGCGCCTGGGTCCTTGTTGAAACGCCCAGCGGCAACAGCCTGTCAAGTCACATCAAGTTCCCAAGAAAGCGACAGATTCAAACAGTAAAAGATGATTATCAAAGTGTCAAAAGGTCTAAAGGTTGTCTATACCAAAAAAAGGCAAAATCTTCAAACAAATCAAAAAGGAAGGGAACATGGTCCTTTCTATTATATAAATACATACATTTAGATTTTTTGCCTGCATTGACTTAGTAACTCTTTGGAGGTAGTGCATTTTCTTGGCCTCCTGAAAGGCCTTGCGGCGTTGATGAACTGCCCGGGAAAGGAGGCCGATCAATATGTCGCAGTTGACCTGGCGATGGGCCAAGGTGAGGTCACCCTCAAGCCGTGTGTTTGTGAGCAACCCTGCCGGCCACACACCTCTTTCATGAGCCTGGAGATTCAAGCAGGTTGTCTGCATCAACCCAATTGCTAGATCAAATGTCAAAGCATCTCAATGAAACAAATGACGTGGACAAGGCCTCATCGATTACGATTGCAGTGTACTTTCGACAAAGGAAGTCAGCCTGGACCTGAATACAGGAGCTTGGCAGTTCACTTATTGCGAACCACAATAGCCTGGCCTCCCGCAGAAGTATACCATCGGTCATAAACTTGATCCGCATATCCTCTGTGCAGTTGCTCCTGTCGTAGCGGACCTGCGTCAAAGGGCCCATGACAGCAAGCAAAGCAAGGCAAAGAATTGGCGTGCTCGATACATGCCAAAGTGATCGGCTCCTGATAACCAACCTTGCCGGACTCATTCAATTCTTGTCCCACTCGCCTGAGTAGACACGTGGCTCAAGTTTGATTTGGAGTCTGGCTCCTTAGGACCTGTCTGCGAGACAGAGATAGCAGCAACCTGGAACCAATGGCGGCTCTTGTTACTGTTATACCGATCCACTTCTGATACATTTCTTGTCATTTGCATTGCAAACACCACGGCATCTTGGGTTTCTGCCCTGCGAGGTTGTGTAACACCTATGAGGAAGTCCTTTCCATTGCAAATGCCACACCTGGGTTTGACCACGCCATCGAATCACAAAAACAATTCCAGAACAGGCTTTTTGAAAAGCACGTAGCCATGTGCAGCCTAAAGATTCACAAAAATTGGAAGATTCGCCTAACACGTCTTGCGCGGGGAAACGCTTTTGAAAACGCAAATGCTGTGGTCTGCCAAAGCAACGAAACGGCAGTGAAAATTGGAAACCATGCATTCCTATCCAGCCAAATGTCTTCAGAGGCTCTCTTGGGAGGCCAAGCGAATTGGGGACTTTTTAAAAGCTCTTTGTGTAAACTGAGCCAAGTTGTTTCAAGCCTCCCAGGAGCGAAGATTCAAATGTATGAGAACAGCAATTGCCGCATTGTGGGCAAGCCTTGCGCTTCAGCAATGGACAAAGCACTTCTTCCTTCGAAATCTTCCCGTGTCACACTGGCTCCTCAAAAATTAAAGGGCCAAAGCGGCACAGCACGACTCTCTTAGGGGGCACAGCTTTTCATGGACGGAAAAAACTACCATCAATATGCTAATACGCGTGCGTGAATTCAGAACCCATTTTTGAACTTGAAAATGAAATTATGGTGTCGACAATCAAGAAACCATCCTGCTTCACAAAGGCGGTCCAAAGCTAACAAGTGTGCTGATGAAGCCTCAAAATTTCGTGTGCGCCAGCGGACGTCTTCCACCTCAGGACTGGCAGGTCCCCAAAAAAACATGTTTGGATCAATGTTGCTCTTGCGAATTCGCCTAGCGGCATCCTGTGAGGGAACACAAAGAACGTAAAAAAAAACAATGCCAATGCAAAGCAAAACTCATAGTTCTGCAAGCATGTTCGCCCACTCTTCGGCTCAGCTTGGTCTACTGGAACTTTGTCGAGCAAGTACTCAACACACTGCAAGTGTTCCCCCGCAGAACGCTTAAGAAAGCAAAGGCCTTCACAAGCCAAGTGGAGTAGTGATTTCCCGCTTTCCGTGTGCAAGTCTGCCAGGGAGCCCTGACAGACACAAGCCGCCACAGGTTCAGGGCGGCCACGTGTCTAAAGAAATGTGTCTTCCAACTCTGAAATTGAAAACGGGAAACAAAGTCTGCATAGAAATTACAGCAACGAGGAAGATGGACTAAAGTTGAGCAAACCATATTAAGCCCAAGCCACATCCCCAACAGCTAGAAGCATGATGCGCGTGGTTAAAACTACGCCACAAGCCATCAAGCTGCACGCTGATGCATAGCCTACCTTTTCCCGGGCGGCTCAGGTCCTTCCACGAAACCCACCAACATCACCACACTCATTGCTGCAATACTGCGGAACGCCATCTGGCCGCCAAAAAAGGCAAGCACAATTAATATCACAAAAGTGCTGGCATGGTTTGAGTGGAATACCATGCTCCGGAACCAATTCCTGCTCCGAAAACCTCCTCCGCAACCTCCTCCGAACCTGCTCCGTGGAAACCTGCCCCAGAACCCTCCTCCAGAACCTCGTCCGGAACCTGCCCGGAACCTCCTCCGCAACCTGCTCCAGAACCTGCTCTGAAGGTTTCTCCAATCTGCTCCGAAGTCTATATACTATGGCTGAAGACCCCTAAAGCTTCGCTGCTGGGGAATAAAACTAGGTCAGCATGTACTGGTAGACCTGGCCCACCTCATAGAGCTCTAGCAATGCGGCCAGGCTGATTGAGTTCCCCGTATAAGCTGTGAGAACCAGCTCGTGCTCGGTGACTTTCAATCCATGTTTTACAAGCCAACACACTGCCTCTGAATGATTCCCCAGGGCTGCGTATAGCAGCACACTCCAGTTGATTGGATTCTTGGCCCCCAGATCTGCACCATAAGACACCAGCATTTCCATTGCATCCACTTGACCGCCAGCTGCTGCAAACATCAAAGGACAAACACCTAAATCATCAACTTCTACGGCTCTTCCTGCATCTTCAACAAGGAGACGATCCAATTCCTCCAGATCTCCGAGCTCCGCCGCAGCTGCAACTCGGCTTTTCACTCGGCGAACAGCTTCCCCAGGCTCTGGCTTCAGCAGCTGCTCGTACACGGCTGCAATGGCCTGAAAGAGTTCCGTTGCCTCTTTCTGCCCCAAAGGGGTGTGTTGGCATTTGTCGGGATGATAGCGCAAGGCCAACTGAAGATATATCCGTCTCAGCTGAGCAGGAGAACACGGAAGGTATGGAGCAAAGAGCGCCTCGGCATCTTCCAGCCGTGGCAGAGGCGCAAAGGCAGCAGCAAGTGGCAGAACAGCGCACATGATTGCGGTTGCACTTGCTTCATGCTACAGAAAATCCAGACAAGTTGGAACATGCATTGGCATGAACTATCTAAGGAACAAAGGAGTTGAACTTGAAAGCAAAGGACCTGATGCCCAATGCCAAAAATTACCACAAACTGCTGGCAAGAAATGCGTGATACAAGCTTGGCAAAGTCACATGGATTTGTTTGTGATTATGTTTCATTATGTAAGATGGTGTTTTTCGAGCTGACCCAAAAAGCGCATGCTCTCTGATCGAGACTATCCAGCATTGCATTCTCATGACACGGTCACACCACAAAACCACAGGCCCCTGCTCGTAAAGGAACTGCGGCACCTGCAAACACTGAAACAAAACTTGGGCAAACAGCTCTAAAAGAAGTTACTTGAACAGAAAAACCCTGTGCTGTGTGCTTCTTTCTCTCCCTTTCTCTTGGGTAACCTGTTTGAATGAGTTTCTTGTCAGCACTTACTTACTATCTCTGGCATTCATGCCTGGGTGGATTTGCCGCAGCCGGTGTCGCCACAAACCTGGGAAGAAAGGACCAGCTCGCTCTCAGGCCAAGAAAAAAGTGCTGAGACAAACGGTCAACCCAAGGACGCAACTAGTAGCTCCTGGCCTTTCTACTAGGAACAAGGACGCTACTAGCAACAAAGGGCACTGCTACTAGGAGCAAGGACGCTGCTAGAACCTCTAGGGTCGTTCGGCCCGTCGTTGGGCCCAAGGCCAACATGACATCATTGCTCAGCAGCATTTCGACGAATTCTTGCCTCCAATTCGCAGTATATATCATTTCAGCTGGTTTGTCTGAAAACAAGCACCCAATATAGGAGCACGGACGCTACTAGGGGCTCCTGGCTTCACTACTAGACGCTACTACAACCCAATACACGTTACTTTATTCACAGCTGAGTTCGCATCTCCATCATGACAGCTGGCAACCGAGTTCGTTGTTCCTGCGGGGAAGACATGGTCTTTCTGATACTTTGAGAGTTCAACTACTGCAGGCCTCAATATCGGCAGTCCGCTCCACGTGGACCTGAAGACCCAAATGACCAAAGTTGGTCCATGCCCATTCTTGCTCCTAGTAGCGATGCCAGGAGCCCCTAGTAGCGTCCTTTGCTCCTAGTAGCGATGCCCTTTGTTCCTACTAGCTTCTCGTTAGTAGCAGGGCTTCTTCAGGCAACATGATGCAATAGAGACTCCTATGTGTCCAGACACGCTGCAAAGGCTGCGTGGCCATGGCCTCCACCTGTCTGATGTCTGGAAGCTTTAGAATCGATGTTTGCAAAAGGCAAGGCTTTTCATGTCACACCTGTGAGGTTTTCTTTGGGGCCAGCCTCAGCTCCAACAGTACTGTGGTGGATGACAAGCCATGTGCTGACCGGTAAGCAACCTGCTTCTTTGAAGCCTTCATCTCAGGTTTTGGTTGCGCCTTGGCACAAATACACTTGATCAGAACAAGTTTCTACCAGGTGCACTCTCCCTGATGTAGCCGTTGAACCCGCTAAATGGAGGTTGCTTAGGCTTAGAACATCCTGAACAAGAACAATTCTTGCGGCAGGTGCGATCAAGAATCAATAACTCGCTTCGTGCCTGAGGTTTAGGGGCGTCCATTGACAGCTGCACGATGTTCCCTGCCAAATGCGGTGCCCTTTTCTGCACTCTTTTTTGGAAACACCGCAGTGTGCTTGATTCTTTTTCACATGTGGCGCCCACTGCACCTGTTTCTGGTTTTTCTCCATGTTGCTCTTGCTCTTCGCTGAGTTCCTGAAGAATCTGCCATTCGGTCACTTGCAGACCAGGAGCAAGGCATGTGGCCAACAAAAAGGAAATGACTAGCAAACTAGAAGGCAAACTCAGAAAGGACTGGGAATCAACAAAGGACAAAAAAGGAACCTCCCAAACCACAAGGATGTCTCCCACCTGCCCGCTATTTGTGGCAACACTCTCAAAAACGAGATGCGAGGGACAAAGCATTCATACGAAAACTACCACAAAAAGATTCCGCCAACGACGAGTGAAATTGGACAATGTGGGCACCAATGGCGCCATCACAACGTTCTGCTCCTAAACCAACATGGAATTGATTGTTTTGTCCTCATCATTTTCGACTTTGGGTTTGAGCTGGCGAGGTCTTCGCCGCAAGGTCTCCTGATATGCGGTCACTACCAAAAGTCGCAAACATGGAAGCATCCATAAGAAACTAAATTGGACAAAAGTTATCAAAAGCGCCTTCATGTCAGAAGTCAATGGAATGCCCAGTTGAGCACGACGTTGTGCCATTGCCTTCTGCTCGCGCTTTGAAAGCCTTCATGTCCGCAGGCCCCCCATTGAGCACTCCCTCTCCCCATCATCCTATTTGTCTCACTAAAACGGCCTCGTGCTTTGCGATGCCTTCAATAGTTCAGCTTGATCCGGTGTGAGTTTCACCGCCTCCATTGAGGCACTAGGGCTGGGCAAATGATTGTTATTTGACAATTGGAAAAAACGCCAAACATGTTTTGCATAACACAATGCCAAGCCTTGAGCTGTTCCAATACTTCAGCACGAACTTCTTTGCTGGCATTTTTTTGCGCCAGCTGCTCCTCAGAAAGCGTCCGAAAAACACACGTGTCAAGTAAAAACACATATCCTTAGCCCGTTGAAATCCTTTATATTTGTATACAGTAGTTTCACTGGTTTCGCTAATGCATCCAAGCATCCAGTTTCCTTCTTTTCCGTTTGCTCATTGGTTTTTCTTCTTCCACCTCTTTTTGCACTTTGGCCTTCGTTTTCTTGGCGGGTAAAACCTGCAGAGCGTACACGGAAACATGACCTGTTTCGAGTGGTCATGAAATTGCATCATTATCTGACCTCCGCATTGGTGTCACCAGGTGCCCGGGGTGCCGGGAGATCATCAACGCCATGGCTATCCAGCATCTTACATCGTTGCAGGGCTGTGCCAAGGAACACTGCCTGTGGAAATGCGAAGCAACGCCCTTCTGAGGAACTGCCCTACGCATTCCAAAACTGTAAGCAACTCACCCAACCACGCCCATTCCTGGCAGCCCGCATTTGCATTCCCAAACCGTTGCGGGAACAAATTGTTCACTTTTCTTTCACCAATGGAGGGGGGGCAACCCGTTCTTGTTTGTGACCAGCTTCGGGCCAAACACCGCCTGCCAACATTAAACACAAGTTTTTGTATGGGTTTCTGCCTGCGCAAACCGCAGGCGGACTAGCTCGAGCAAAAAAACCGCACCACGGCGTGTGTGTGTGTGTGCGTGTGTGTTACACCCCGTTTTGAGGGGTTCCCCACCGTTTGGTCCAACCATTAGCAGGGCGTGAAGCATCTGTGATCTACTGCACGCAACGAAGCTAATATCACAGATGGGAAGGGATCAAGGATTTGGAATCTGGTAGGGAGACGGAAAAGACGGAAGTCGAATCCGAGAACAACGAAAGTGTGTGTACACGTGTGTGTGAACCGGAAGGTTTCAACAGCGATCGATCGAGTGATCCGATAAATTGAGGCGCGTGCCTTTTACAAACCTTGAGCCAATTCAACGCGGTGAGACGTACCTTAGTGGATCCTTAGTGAGACGAACGTGAACCTGAGAACACAATCCAAGTCTGGTATCTCTTCTCTTCGTCGAACGAGAGATTTGCCGGTTGTCACGACACCAAACAAGGATTTTGACCTCAGGCCCACTCTGCTGACTGGCCAAACTTATGGCGAACTCTGAGCTTTCCATCGACAGTCCAACAACCACATGTGAGAAGCTCTTGCAAAGACTTGCTGAAGTAGCCGGAATATTTCGTGAGCAAGTCACACAACATGTAGTGCGTTGTCACATGAAAGAATCGTCTGATCCTCTCACTCCGACGTTCCTCTCTGATTGCAAGAACTCCCAATCGTTGACTCTTGTCTTGAGGAATGCCTTTGCGACCACAACTCAACTCCCACAAATCCATACAATCGATCAAACAGTCGATAGGGATCCAAGGCTTCTTGCCTTCTATGAGATGTAGCAGTCGCATGGGAGTCATCTCCTCTGGATCGGCGTACAACTTCATTTCTGGCTCGGAGATGCGAAGAGACACAAGTTCAGCTACCGGGATAGCTCGAGAACATGCATTCGTTTCCGCATGACTGGTGCAATGACTGATACGCTTGGCCTTGGTACTGCTGCACACCGAGAGCTCCAAGATTCTTGACTTGTTCGCCTTCCAAGAAATCATTCTTATCCGAACGAAGCGATGACACTTTGTCCTCTGCAAGCAACACGCAAATGCCCTGGAGAACGTGGTACCTGAAGTTTGAGTTGTGGTAGATCAGGTGAGTCTGGTGGTTGACTGCCAGCAGTAGCAGTCATTGGAGGTTGTAGTGGACCAGGATCGTCTGGAGGAGGATCTGCAATGATTTCTTCTGGTGGACGCATGGACTCATCCATTCCGGTCGTGGATTGTGGAGCGCTATGTGGTGGTACTGCCGGAGGAAGACCTGGTGGAAAGCCAGGAGGTGCTCCTGATGGTGGCGGAGCTTGATCCAGATCAGTTGATTGTTCTCCTTCCTCATCAATGGGATCCAAACCTGGCGGACCAAAAATGCTCATGTCTGGAGCTGATGAAGGTCGCGCAGATGGATCGATGCTGGAGACGTCGTCCCAGTCCATGGTATCCAATCGCAGTGGAGGTTCTGGATCAGTCTCTGGCTGCACATAGCTGTAGAAGTAGAGAGTGTTCCATGACAACACTTGAGAAGATGCAAAGGATGTGGTCTGATTGAGCCTCCTTTGCTCCATGGTGTAGTGCTTCCTCAAGTTGTTCTTCCAGCGTAGCAGTAGTCCTTGCCGATGTCCTCGAGGAACTGGTATTCTTTTCAGACCATGGCCAAAGAGCACACCATGCAAGGTGCCGATGAGATCTTGTAGTCGAAGATGGTTGCCATGAAGAAGAATTGGGTGCTTTGAGACTGATTCCTCATCAGGAAGAGCTTCCAGAGTACCTTTGTCATTCAAGCGCCAACCAATCCAGAACAGGCGTCCATGTGATTCTCCTTCAACGAGATCCATGATGGTGGACATATGAGTGTGCTGTCCAGTGATGTAGTTTCTGTTGCTTTGGTTGTGATAGAATTGGAGCTGGTAGTTCTTAACCTCTTCATAGTTGCAGTAGAACTCGTCAGGAGTGTCGTCATTGAGAGAATGCAAGTGTTCCTGAACATAGAAGCCCAGAGGAACGTGCCGTCGGATGCTGTTCAAAGGAGACATGAGAGGTTGTCCATGAAGAAGGACAATTGCGGCGCCTGCATGTCGTTGTATAGACAGCAATTCTCCAGGACCGTGCCATCCAGCTAGCTCACGTTTCACTGCTGGAGAACGATAGACGTCCACACCAGCATGCCTGGAACCAGGAGACTTGGAGGATGTTTCTGTTGTTTCATCTTGCGAGCTAAGGCCAGGCGCTCTTCAACGATGGATTGGAGAATGCACTGTTTTGCAAGCATACGAGTGCGGATGGCCAACTCTGCCACATCTGGCTTGAGATCAAGAGCTGATTCTGTAGCTTGTATGTTGTCGGTCTCCAGGTTCCAGAGCTCTTTCGACTGGAAACCCGTGAGAGCTGTTTGAGGAGTCTGACCATTGTATTCCAGCATCAGATTTTGTGCCATGCACACTTCCTGACAGATGTCATTGTGAGACATGACAACTCCTTCTCGAGTCTGAGCTGCCTTCATCTTGAGCATCGAAAGCTTGACCAGGCCGATGTGTCGTTCAACAAGGCCTTTTGTGTGAGAGCAAGGCAACGAGTGATGCCTAACTTCTCCAGGTAGTTCTGCACTTCGTAGCTGGTCATAGAGCCTTCTTGGTCAGACACTATGCGACTTGGAGGTCCAAACAGTCGAATCCATTCACGTCGAAGAGCTTCGATGAGAGCCATAGGCTTGCGATCAGGGAGAAGTGCTCCAGTCTTCCATTTGATTGCTGCGTCAATGATCAGAACAAAGGGTTCTCCCCAGAGAAAGAATAAGTCCAGAAAGACTTCCTCGTTGAAGTACAGAGCGACGTCAGACTTAATCAGAGGTCTGGCCATCTTGGTGGCATACTGACGACATTCTTTGCAGTCTTGACAGACAGATACGCCCTGCATGATCACCTCTCGAGGCAGAACCAGTGCCGTGAGAAAGCGAAGCATGTCTTGTGGACCACAGTGCCATAGCCTTTCATGTAGACCTTGTAGGAGTCGATGGCGTTCTTCCTTTGAGGCATGAATGAGCTTTTGTGGACGTTGTTTGAAGTCCTGGCTAGGCTTGAAGCTCTTCATGCGATCGCCATTGGCTCTGATATGTTCATCTGCTTCGTCTGGTTGTGGTGCAAGTTGTTCCGATCTGGTTCGCACTGGTCGGTCAGCTTCTTTCCATCGGGTGTCTGGAGTTGGTGTTGACAGGCGAGGCCTCGAGATGGCGTTGCGACCTGCCAGAGTGATCTCACCCAGTAGGAGAAGAAGTCCTGCTGCCTCCCAGGAATAGTAAGTGTCCAATCGTTCCAGTGTGTGGAAGGTCTGCACAAAGATAGTCACGCAGTTGTCGAACAATTGAATCAGGATGACAAAGAAGTTGGCGTTGCGGGCAAGACTCAGGACAGAGTCTTGACCAGAGAACTTGATGGTCTTGCTGAGGTTTCGGCTTTGATAGGTATAGCGAGTGAGGAAATTCACCTTCAAGGTTTCAATCAGAAAGAGGATGCCTTCATGGTAGTTCATCTTCTGTGACGTAGTGAAAGGATAGATCTGCTCCAGAGCTCCTCTTCCTTTGATGTTGTCGCTGACAATCTCGAGAAGACCGCCAAGACATCGTTTGAGATCATCTTTCTTTTCTGGCGGAAGGATGATGTAGTGTCCATCGAAGCGCAGGGAAGAGGCTTGAATGTCCTCAAAGCTCCGAGGGAGTGCTGCAAAGGTTGATATTGCAGAGGAAGATGAACCATCACGGGTTTGTGAGCCCCCGTGATGTCGGAAATTTTGCCCCGACCGGGGCGCACCGTCAACATCTTCTGCGTGCTTTCTGATATATCTGTTTTTAAGCCTCTGTGGCGACGAAGGTGCGGCCCAGACCGGGCTGCGTGGTCAACATCTTCTGCACCCATGCTCTTGACTGCTGAGCCATGCTGCTTCTTGCTTCGGTGTTCTTTGCAGCTCAGGTTGTGGACAATGTCGGAGCTCAGTGCTTGACAAAACCGGTATGGAAACAGAGCTGCTGCTGCTGTTCTGCTCACATGGTTCTGTGTGTCGGTGCCCTGTAGCTGGATGTGGCCTTGGGTGCAATGACAGTGTGCGATGCTATTCTTGAGTTTCGCGTTGGTCAGCAAGCTGGTTTCCTTCTTGTGTCTCTCTCCATCTGGGATTCCCTTCATGAAGTGGCATTGACAAGTGTTGTAGTGCCTCATGCAATTGTGCCATTCCAAGCTGGCGAGAGGAGAGTCCCACCAGATAGCTGACCCTTTGGGATTTTCGAGGAGGCCAAAATGGCCTGTGTTCACTTCTGCCGCAATTCTCTTGGAGAGGTAGCGAAGTGTTGGTAGCTCTTCTTCTCGAAGGCTTTGTGTCAATACTGGATCTCTGCGATTGCCGCTCTTGGACCAATGCTTGCAACGTGGTTCAGCAATGGTGACGGAAGGCTTAAATTGGTCGTACAGCTGGTCAATCAGTTGCTGGTGTTGTTTCTGGCCAATGTTCCAACCATGCCGAA